TAATAAAGTCTCAGGACTAATTAAGAGCTGGTCCAAACTCAACCTTTTATGGTTTGGCTGCATTCCAGCATTTACAATGACTGTCCTCACTTGATTTTACAAGCCCTTCCGGTTCCAATTCCAGGGTCATCCAGCAATCCAAATGGATCAAGAACTTATTTAAACCAGTGACTGCTAAAATTATGGAGCACAATTACAAACTTCTGCAAAGATGGTACCTTACCTCTAATATGGTTACATCAAATCAATACTTCTAGCTCTAAATGCTGGAGGGATGTGGGGAAATTGATTCATATTTTCACATGTAGTGATCATGCGGTAAGGTATGGACATTTTGGGACTTGATCATTAGAGAAATTGGTGAAATAGTGAATCAAAAGATTATGGTATGTCTAGCATTAGGCATGTTTTATAATGAAAAGTCATGTTTGCTGCAGAAATAACCCTAATTACACTATGTCAATCACCTAGAATGGTAATTGTTTCACAATGGAAAACGTTTAACTTATCATTGTCAACTTGGTATGCTAATATTTGGCAAGCAGCTGCTGACGAAGTAACCAAACAGCTGTGTTTACTTAAACAAGGGAACTAAGTTTCTTGTTTTTATGAAATATGGCACCTGTTTATAACCTATAAAAGCACTAATGTTCATGTACCATCCCCTCCAAATACCCATTTAAACTTCTGGTGAAAGTTGTTTAATTGATCAGTTAATTATCTCTTTTATCTTTGTTTCATTACTTCCATTCTTGCCTTGCTCTGCATTGCTGTTGGCTTGATTTTTATTATATATGTGGACCTTAAGGACTTGTTTTATTATTTGTTGTATTTATTTATTCATTCATTTTATACCCCACCCATCTAGACTGAAGTCTACTCCATAAACATATTAATTTTTTAAAAAAACTTACTACACCAAAAGAGATAATGCCATTATTTCTAGAAATCTATCATGCCCTCATTGCCAATAATAGTAATAATAGTAGTAACAGTAACAATAGTAATTATAATAATTTACTACAAGTAACTTCTTTTCAGGTATCTGGAAAGAACGATGTTTTGCTCTCTGCAGTCTCTGGGTGAAAAATAGAATAATAGATCTGCCATTATACTTCCCCTCTCAGCATCTGTTACCTGAGGTAGCCACTTCTCTCTCTCTCTCTCTCAACCTAATGGTGTGTCTGGCTCAGAAAACTGATGATCTCACTAATGGCAGGCTTTGGCATATTCACTGTCAGCAAGCATCCCAATATTACTTCCCAGGTGATAGGAAAAAAATGTTTATCCACTCCTGGCCTAGTGGTTGGAATCAAGTAACTGCCCACCCCTACCCTCATTTTGACTTTCAACTCTATATTTTGGAAGGACATACCATTCCCCTAAAACTACATCTGTTCCAAGCTTCTGGGGATTCTCATGTCCTGACCACCACATTCTTTGGCTTTCCATCCAGCCTTATGAACTGCAGCCTGAGTCTAAAGTCTGTTTCCTCTTTAAATAGGGGTAAGAGAAAGCAAATAGGGTGTGCCCGGACGGGTATTTGTCCTGTGTTTTGGTCTGAGCTGGGGACAGGCTGGTTTGCTCCTTTTCCTGGCAACGACGAGACATATGCCATCATGAATCAGCCCATCCCTGGTAGATGCCTATCTGCATTTTGTGGGGTGCGTCTCAGGAGCTATATATAAAACCCCATTTCCCTTGGTCCCTGAGATCTTCATGAGAAGGCCTTCTCTCAGTCCTGCTACCATTGCAGGCATGTTGGAGATGACTCAAGAGGGGCATATTCAGCGCTGCCCCCAGTTTCTGGAATTCCCTTCCTTCCACACAAGGCTAGGTTGGCCCCCTCCTCATAGTCCTTCCACCAGAAAGTGACAAATCTTTTTAACTTGTTTTCTTTAAAACAACAACATCATCATCAACAACAACAACAACAACAGTGAATGCCCCTGGAAGGATTTGAATTTTTACTAGGGGATTCAGCTTATCTTTTGTCACGTGTTTTACATTGGTTGTAATGTTTTAACTAGTGCTATTTTTAACATTCTTAACATCCAATTGTTTTTAACATTAATATATTAATTTACTGTAATTTTAAACATATGCATTTTAGATGTTTCATGCTACATTGAGTCCCTGCATTATAAGCAAGCAAGCAAATGAAATATTCCAGTCAGCATAGGTGGATTACATTTAAATTACTGTTGTTATTATATAGCACTTCGTATTTCTCAACATTGCTGCTGCATGGGACGGACCAAAGAGTTAAGCCTAAAAATTAGGAGACAAACCTAAAAATTAGAAGTCAGAAGTTGCAAGTGAGATGACATGTTTATAAAATCATTGGTCTTTGAATGTCAGGAAATGAATTGTCAGCTATTGCCAATTGTTTTAAATTGGCAAACAAAGATTTTGGAAGAACTCAAGTTGCTGAAATTATATTGGAGAGGAGGATAACCCAATCTTGCTTCCATACTCTCTTAATTTCATGCCTTAATATTTGATACTTTGTAATTGTTGTACTTTCTGTACTTTGGAGATTACTTGTTGGTGGAACTCCGACTTCTATAAGGGATGGTTTCTTAACTGCTCATCCAAAAGTATAATATCTATCTTAAATAAATCAATTCTTTTATCCATGACAACTTGATTATCTCAGTATAGCCTTGCCGTTTTGTTTTCTAAAACTGGAGATGACTGGAATTTAAAATATGGAAGAGAGGATGTGAGCAATCCATAAAATTTAGCCAACTGCTGAAAAATTATCTTTGCAACTTGGTTATGCCTGAACATATAATCCGCTGATTGTAGTTTAGGACATCCAGCTGTCAACATGTGAAATTTTGTGTAGAAAAAGACTTGAAAATAAAGGTTTTTAGAATTGAAATTTGAACAATAGTTTATTGTAGTCAGTGCAAAACAATTAGCCAGCTCTCCAGCTAAGCAAGATCAATGTGCCGTAAAAATCCTGACAGTTGAAGTTGCAGTGTGTAAATATGGATATGGTGTTTGCAGGTCCTATAGCTTCCACTCTATGTAACTTCAGTACTCTGGTATTACAATACCTTGGTGTTACAGTATCTTGCTGTGACAGAGCCTTGCGCCTCCAACATTTGCAAAAATTTTAGTCAAAACAATTACATTATTATAATAGTGCAGTTGGCCAGATTTTAAGTTACAAGCTTTTGGAGTTATAAAGACTGCAGGGACAATAGAATTTCCTATTTTTTTTTTCTTGGCGCTCCAGGTCCCTGGAGATAAGACTGTTTATACTTTGAAGGGAAATGTAAACAACTGAAAGAATTATAAATATAGGGAAATAAAACACACACACACACATGAAATCAACATTCAGCACATCAAAACAATGCTATATGCTACACTACACACATTGGATACCAACAACAATCATGTAGTAGCATGACAACAGTTCATTTCCAGAAGCCAGCAACACAACATGGATTTTTCTCCATAAAGGCAAAATGGCACAAGGTTGGCTTGGCTGGGTATATACATTATTTAGAATATTTCTCTCAGTGTTTTTAATACACTTAGAAGCTAAGAAAGCAATTTTCTTTAACACATTTTTTTCTTTTAAAAAACTTTGGTATTTTTAGAAATGTAACCTGTGTTTTTTGTTGTAGTTCTTTTAGGCTATAACTTTCTTTATTTTTTTATTCAAACATGATTTAAATTCTTGTCTGTGACTTTTACAGCAAAAAACGTTCCATTGAAATGTATTTTTATGATTCAGTTTCTGGCTATCATTTAAGTTTTATTTTGAAATTTATTTTTGTTTGCAACTTCTTTTAGGTTTAATAATTTTGGATGGTAATCACACCTGTAGTTCTTCACAAGTTGCAGGATGCATATTTAAAATATTTGTGCCAAAAGTTTTTTGTAGCTTTTTTATGTTTTTCAACAAATCTGAAGTAATTTTGTGTTTATGGAACATAGAGCAATGTAGAAATAAAGCTTATAGAATTGGTCAAGCTGATGTTGCCTGGAATTACTGCAACAATGAAAAGAGTTATACATACTCAGATGAATGTTAATGTTTGGAAACAATTGCCTAGTTTTATTCTGGATTTAACCTCTTTTGGTACAAACACAGGCTTCTGAATTTTCCCTGGAGGTCTATATAGTTTTGCAGGATTCTTAGGGAAATGTTCAGGCATCAGAATCCTTGACCTGACACAGCTATAATGTGATAAATTCTTGGGGGGGGGGAATCTCTGGTTTATTAATTTGAGATACCGTAGTTTGCTTTTTCATCCATGATTCAAAATGCCAGGAAATGCCCTGGTATTGCTGCCAGCAGCTAAAAGGATGCAAAGGGCATCTTGAATATTGACAATACCAATAGCAGCAGTGAAGATGGTCTACAGAATACAGTACTCTCATGTGCTCACTATCATTCACAAAGTACTGTAGTGACATGAAGCAAAGGAAAATCCCAGAAGCTGACTTCTTTTTGCATCAGCTTCTCACCCAAACACAAAGCAATGGAGAAACACACACGCCCTTTAACCTCTCAGATACACTAATGTTGCTATGCCTGCTCTGCACAATGCAGACTAGAAACCTGTGTTCCAATTTACAAATCCTTTCCGTGGGGCGTGCCTTCATTTTTAGAATTACCTTGTAGAAAGCTGATTTGCTCTGGTGCAGTGACAATGATTGTCTTTAGATTCATGACAGATGGTACATATAACACACCTTGCTTCATAACAGCCTAATTTAAGACCCAGGTTGGATTGTTGCTTATTGACATTATCATTCAGGAGGTTACTGGAGGGGCTGTCCGAAATGGTTTTTTAAGCCATGCATCCCTGTGATGTGGGTTTTCATGAAGGTGCTGGCTGGTTCTCCCTTGCAAGTTGTAGCACTAATTGTCATCTGAGCAAGTGGGGCCCTGTTCCCATGGAAGTAGTTTTGAAGTTTGACGAGGCTGTTGTTGTTGTTGTTGCTGCTGCTGCTGCTGTTGTTACTGCTGCTGTTTACTGCAAGTTTCTTCTTCCTCGCCGTCTCTTCTAGGCCTGTCTTCAAGCCTGGCTTCCCCCTCCTCCCTTTCGTGGAGGATTCGCCCCCTTAGCAACCGCGAACCTGTCCTTGGAGGGAGGACAGCTTGGTACCGCGAAAGAGGTGGGCTGCGAAGAGAGGCGCTCTCAGCTGCTGCTGCTGCTGCTGCTGCTGCTCCTCCTGCGGCGCGCGATCGCCCGGGCGACCCAATCACAGCCTTCTGTTCCCCACGCGCCCACTCTTTCCCCCCTCCACGCCCGCCCGTCCTCCCGCCCGCCGCGCGCGCCTCGAAGTCGCTTGTCTTGCCTCCGGGGAGCGCGG